CCCGGGGGGCTCGCTCGGGGGCTCCGCGCCCCCTAGCCCGCGCCCGCCCTACCTCCATCTCGTCTCCGGGCCCGCCAAGCCGGGCCGCGTCCCCGCCAGGACTGGGCAGCGGGAGCTCGGCGTCGGGCCGTCATCGGTCAGTACCCCTCCCGCCCCTCCGCGGCGCGTCAAAAGGACAGGCCCAAGTTCTGGCGGGGGCAGGGGGGAGCGGGGGGAGCCCCACTTGCCTCTCCGCGCGCCCTTCTGAGCGGCCGGGCCTCTCACCGGCCGCTGCACACCCCAGCGCGTAGGTGCACCCTTCTCCGCGTGCACCCCGGACGGCGGCGCGGGGCGGGGCGGCCACAGGCCGTGTTAGCAGGCCGACCTGCGACCCGGGGACCTCAGCTCCGTCCGAAGCTCTACTTTCCCAGCCCTCCTTTTGAATCCACTTCCGCTGGGGAGGGGGTCTCAGTCCCGCTGCGCCCGCTGCCAGAGCATCTCGGGGCGCTCTGCCTCTGTGCAGCCGACGTTCCAGGGGCGGCTGGGGCGGAGGAGGCGCGCGACCCCAGGTCTGCCCTAGGCAGGGGTGCACCTGGGCGCCGCCTCCCCTCCGTCTGTGGTCTGGTCCGCGGGTCCCGGGTCCCTGGTTGCCCGCTCACCCCGGTCCCTCAGCTTCAGGCCTTCGGAAGCCGTAAAGAGGTCCTGTGTGTTTTCATTACGTGAGTGGAGGTTTTGTGCTTTGGTTTTGTTTGTGGCGCTAATGGAGGGAGCAAAAGCTTTGCCTTTCACGCGGCAGTAAGACCTGGAGGGGGAAAGCCCCCCCTGCTCCCCCTGCTGACCACAGCTAATGGACTCGCTCCTTTGGGCCCTGGGGCAGCTTGAGTTTCCACGGGAGGTGCAATTGTCCCCGACTCCCCCTGCCCCCCTTTCCCGACTCCCTCTGCCTGCACCTACAGCCTAGAAAACATCTTCACCTTTTAAAAATAGAAATATCAACTACTTCTCCCTGAGCCCGTCAGAGGGGATCTGAGGTGCACGGGGCGGTTCCATGCCCCTCACTGGTCTCATTTCCACCCCAGCCGCTGGACCACAACCCCTTCTCCCTCTGTTATGCCTACAAGATAGGAACCTCGGAACCAGAGGCGGGAGCCTGCCTTCTCCCCAGGACTGCTGTCTCCCAGACCCCTTCCTGGGAGATGACTGGCCCCACTGTTCCCTCGCTGGGACCTGCCCAGGAACACGCCCTCTTCCTCCCCACCGCAGCTGCTCAGGGCCACTTCCCCAGCTCTGACCTCACAGCACCTGGGCAGGGCACTAATGCGCCTCTCGCAGGAGCATCTTCCCCACATGCTGCCTCTCTCTCGGCAGCTGAGACCCTGGGCGCTCCAAATGGCTTCCTAGGCAGCCTGCGGCCCTTCCTGGGTGCAGCTCACCTGTCTCCTGACCTCCCAGGTCCCCAGGTTGTCAGGATTCGGGAGATTCTGCAGGGCCCCTGCTGGCCTCCTGGACAGAGCTACGCAGAGGTAGCTCTGTCTGTGTACCACGAGGACAGAGATCACTACTATATGTGCGTTCC